CCTGTTGTTTGATACCCATATTTACAGAGTGTTATAAAGAGGTGGACTTATTAGGGAACCCCATTCTTTTACTATTACAAGAGCAGATCACATTTGAATACAGCGACAAAGCCACAAGCAGCAGACCTTTTAATACAATTCATCTGAATTTCAAATTACTCTCCAGCAACTGAATTTATAAATATGGTACATTCAGTAATATAGATATATATTGCTCAATAGTTATTAGTGTTTAACCCAAGTGCTTAACGCCACCACTATAGAGATTAGAGGGGAATTTGTTACCAATTACCAATGCATTATTTCAGAACCATCCTAGTATCGGGAGGGATGAGTAAAATTAGCCATAACGTTTATATTCTGTCGAAGACCAAAGTTCAGTTCTTAGGGATTAGCTTAAACCTCAAGCATCCAAATCATTTGGAAAAAAAATAACATTTTTTTTTATTAGTCACGAAAGTCTGAGCTGTGGTTTTAAAAGCTTATAATTGTTTTTGTAGTTTTGAAAGTTAAGATTGCCATTAAAATCTCATATTTCAAATCCCCTGTTGAGAAATAACTGAGTAAATACGAGACACATTTTAAGCTGCGATTGTCCAGTTTGATTAGTGATCAAAAGTGCTACAGATATCTAGCTCCGATTTTCCAAAATGGGCTACAGATCTATTGCTTCGATTGCCCAGTTTGATTGGTGATAACCACTGCTATATATCTCTAACTTCAATTATTAAGTTTGATTAGTGATAAAATGTGCTACAGATAGCTGCGATTGTCCAGTTTGATAAATGATAATGTGTGCTTACGGACCTCTAGCTACGATCTTCCAGTTTGATTAGGGATAAAATGAGCTACAAATATCTACCTCCGTTTGTCCAGTTTGATTGGTAATAATATGCACTGCAGATCTGTAGCTCCGATTGTCAAGTTTGATTGGTAGTAATATGCACTGCAGATCTCTAGCTCCGATTGTCAAGTTTGATTGGTAGTAATATGCACCGCATATAATAGCTCCGATTGTCAAGTTTGGTTGGTAATTATACGAAGCTCAGAACTCTAGCTCCGATTGTCAAGTTTGATTGGAAATAATATGCACCACAAATCTCTAGATCCGATTGTCAAGTTTGATTTGTAATAATACGCAGCTCAGATCTCTAGCTCCGATTTTCAAGTTTGATTGGAAATAAAGCATAAAGGTCCGTTTATACTACATCCGTATCTGTAAATACGTGCGTGAATACGTACTGGTATACTTTAGTTACTTTTAGAGAAAGGGTTCAAATAGAATCCGGCACGTATTGCGCACAAAAACAACTGCGTCCGTTAAGCCGGATTGATTGCTCCCAGAGCGTATTTTTGTAAAGTGCGTCCGGCATTTCGGCTAGTAGGCCGAGCTTTAGCCAATCAGCAAGTACTTTCCACTTATTACATCATCTCCCTTATTACATCATCTCCCCAAATAGAAACTCAATCCATTCCAAGAAAAGCCTGGCCTTGTGTGCTGTGGATTTGTGTTGTCTTGTGAAGAACACAACATGGACAAGACAGAGGAAATATTGTCTGAATTTGTCCGGATGAAAATACAATTCTTGCACCAGGTTGTGGTATTCTCCATATTTCTTTCTTCTTTATAACAGTTCAGGGACCCTACTCTCTTTTTTCTCTTTCGTCTTTGGGTCCACAAATACAAAAGAAAGACTTCCTCTGTGTCATAGTCAGACTCCATGATTGCAAATGACAATATGTTATCTCTGACAGACAATTCAGCCTTGAAAGCCGGACGTTTTCGCGTTTTCTATTTGAACGGCAAAACGCGGATACGGATGCGGATACGTTTATGGATACGGATGTAGTATGAACCGGTTTGCTATTATGCACAAACAGCTTCATTAATTCACCGCTCAGATATTTACGTTTTAAACCTGGTATATTTCAGTGTTTAGATAAAGGAGGCCAGGGTTAGGGTTGTATTGAATATTATCATTTTCAAAATTAATTCCATTTATTTTTTGAGCGAAAGGGATGTTATCTCTTTAATTAATTCTGACTATATGACCGATACTAAGTTTGTTTAATTGCCATGTTTAATTAAAGGTGTTCAGTATCGATTTTCAATATTCTCTATTGGTGTTTGATTTCTTGCTTCAATGCACCAATTCACGTAATACCATAATGAGGAACTCGTTAAAGACGATTGACAGAAGTTTACTAGATTTTTGTCAGGATTTGATTGATACCAATTTTGTTTTTACTGTTTGTGTGCGATATGGTAATGTAATATTGGCTTGTCATGCTAAAAAAAACACACCAAGGAGAATTGTTTCATTATAGCAATATAGTAGGTGTTGTGTGCGATATGGTAATTTTGGCTTGTCAAGGTTTAGAACAAAAGAAAACCGAGATGGATTGTTTCAGTACCGTAGGTTTTTGTATTCATTGTTAATGCGCAATCATGATTCATCAGTGCTGGTATGTTAAATGCGGTTACCTTTCTTTAGAAGGACTTCGTCGGTTGCTTTAAAGGCCTCCGGAAACGCAAGTAATTATGTCAACATATCCTTTCCATAGTATAACACGGACCCGAATGTCAATTATGCCTGCAACAGGTAAATTTCAACGTTAGTAATTTCCGCCGTTCTCCATGAGTAGTAACTTTCCGTCAATAAACAATCCATGAAGTCATTTTAGTCGTTCTGCTCATATTCTAGTCTATATTTCTTTGAGCAGAAGAAAGCTATTTTTATTATCAGTGCGCGACTGTATTGGCTTTTGCGGAAAATTTCTTAGGCGAAACTGGTCTGCGATATCCCCATGGATAAAAGCGGACGTAAACCCCCAGAAGAAGAAGACGAGTAACTTACTACCTTGAATCTAACATAATATACGGAGGAAAATTATTTGTTTTACTCTGCAAGTGCCATATATAATATTAGTGAATTGTTGGAGTAGATATTTTAGCCCACTATCTGATCCAGGCGCCTTATTCATGCAAAATTTAACTAAAATATTTTTTTAGAATTCTGCCCTTTCATTGGACAAGAGCTACAATTTGTTCTAGAATGTTAACCCTCAACCAGTGAAATAGCTGCTTCCTTAACATATTTTAGTTTAAGATTTCGTTAAAAAGTCCACAGGCCAAAATAAAATATTAAATTGGTTTCATCTGAAATTATGACATATTATAAATGGATTTGGGGGGTTTACAGTCTTGAATATTGAATATGTTTTACAATTATTCTGCGATTTAATTCATATTGAATACCATGATAAATAATTATATTCCCTGGGTTATTATCTGAATATATAAATCTTTAGTGGACAGAACAGAACAGAACATAACTTTATTCACAACTCCGATCAAATACATGACATATGAGTGATAAGTTATTTACATATTTTTTTAGAATAGTTCGAAATAATCATATGGTTTCCATTATCTTGAATACTGAACTACTAATATTTCTGTGGTTTTCAGTAAACGCTTATGTATGGCGCGGGTAGTTTTCTCGACATTTCGATTGCGTTAATAATTATTTGGGGTTCCGTATTTCGAATATTGTTTGACTCAAATATAAATATGGGATTCAGTATCTCTAATACGGAATTGACTTCAATTATCGAAGAACGGTACTGCGATGTTTGGAAATATTAAAACAAAACTATTTTATCCAGTATTGCATTTAGGATGTATTCTAGTGCGAAATAGAAACTTATTGGGTTTTTTTTTATTTTAAAGAAAAAAAAAGAAGAAAAAAGACTCCCAAGTCCTCTGTGGCTGTCCTTGTTGATTTGTTGGCTATAAGAACATAATTGTCAACTAAAACTTTCCATTTCCAATTCAGCGCATGAGGGAAGCAGCTGTGGATGTTGACTTATTAAATTAAAATCTAATTATTATTACTAAGTTTTTTTGTTTTATGTATAATTACCACAGTCGGGGACATTATTTTTACGAAAAAAAATATTCGTCATTAAAATGTATCCTAAGTTTAAACAAAATGTGGTTGCTTTGTTGTGTAAATCATTTGCCGAGATCCTATCCGTTGATAAGAGAAGAGCTCCATTGATAATTCCGTTGATAAGGGAGCAACGCCGTTGATAAGGAACAATTCCGTTGATAGGGGAACAGTTCCGTGATAAGGGAAGAGCTCCGTTGTAAACGAAACAGCTCTGTTGTTAACGAAACAGCTCCGTTGTTAACGAAACAGCTCATTTGAGAGAGAGAGAGAGAGAGAGAGAGAGAGAGAGAGAGAGATAAATGGGGTTTAAAGTCCACTCGACACAAACTAGGTCATTTCGGGACTAACATATGGTTTAATTTTATTTCAATAATTCGCTTGGGCGTAGGGATCTTTAGCAGTGGGAGGAAACCGGAGGACTCGGAGAAAACCCACGAGGTCCGCTCCGTTGATGAAGGAACGAATGTAAAGGGAAATAACCATTTAATTCAATTTAGTATGTTCATTTCGATGAACCTCATGCGTTTTCTAATACATCTACGCCGACCGTAACCACAGAGCACACAGTGCTAATTATAAAAATAACCATCCTTATGGTGGTCCCGAATTGACTTAATCTCTCTGTACGTTTGCAATGTTGAATGAAGCGCATACTAAATCACTCTACTTCCGGCAAGTCCATTATGAAACATGTAGCGCCTACACCGTTTCTAAGGCGATCAGAAAGACACAATTTATATAGAATTAAAATGAAAAATGTGTGACAACAGTAGGATAGAGATCAAAGCTAATGTTATGAATTTATGGAAAATCAAGAAGTACTTGTGCTATTAATGCTTGTTTCTTTGACCGTCTACATTAGTTCAGTCGGTGCAGAACATCCGGGCGTTAAACCCAATTTCATTTCATTTTAATTTTTTATTTGATGAATTTCAGATGAACAACACAATGTCAGTGTCATCATACGATTTATATAAAGCGAGACCGCTTCCTTCTAATCGGATTAATTAATTAATTCATTTTATATTTTTTTTTAAATTTCAGATGAACAACACGACGTCACTATCATCTTACGATTTCTATAAACCGAGACCGCTCCCATCTTACCGGATTAATTATTTGGAGGAAAAGAGATGTAACGAATCAGTTTTCACCAAATCATATCCTAATGACGGTAAGCATATTTATTTCTATTCTAAACGTCATCGCAACCCATGCTCGGGCATATTCATTTTATGTCAAGACTAGTATTTAAATGTGTACGTGCAGTCAGCGTAACCAATTTCCAGACTCCAATTTAATAGATGTATAGATTCCTCTAGATGCCTTAACATGTTAATTTTATGTTGAATGGATATAGCCATAATATGTAATACCATACGTTTCCATCCCCTGATGAAAATAACCACGTGTAATTCTTGAACAGATTTCCGATCCATCATGATCAGCATCGGATCAAAATCTTGTAACGGTATACTTGTATCATAAGATACCTGGCCTCTTGGTGCACAAGACCCAACACTGTAGAATTGCCTTCCTTTTAATTTCCACAATCTATAGCTATCTATAAGATAAACAAAGAAAGCCAACTTATTTTAAGTTTACTGGTATTCATTTAGTTCTTAAGTCTTAGTATGATGCTATATTGTATGAAATGAAATGAAATGGGGGTTTAACGTCTTATTGTTCAGCTACGGCTTGGTTAATGAAGACGGGCATACGTCATACAGTGTGCTATGAGGGAAATTTTACCCGGACAGCGTCGCTACGGCCTACTCTGTTATCGAATTCCAACTGTCAGGGGATCTTTTACATGCACGCCAATGTGTACACGGGACCACGATTGTTCGTCCCACCCGAACGACTAGACAGATGTGTCCTGGTCAGACCCTCCATCATGCACCACTGACATGGAGAAACCATGCCGGGATATCACGATGAACTTTCTCAGCCAAAATAATTTTAACATTCAGATATTTAGTTGACTTGTACTAGAACGCAATCTATTGCAATCTGGTTAGTTGGAGGACTGGTGAAAGTTTTTAATAAGTCAATACCGACATGCTTATATACCTGTGTCATTTCTGGAGAATCTGTCGTCTCAAAGACTCGGCTCGAAGACCCGGGAACCCAAAAGTGTTTAATATACAAAATAATAAGTACGGCCGTATCATGAACCAGAAACAGATTATCATTATTAATCATTACGTCATCCCGTCATTGATGTACAGTTAACCACAAAATAAACCAGCATACTAAGTTTCTTGTCCATCTTACTCGAATTGGCAGAGCTTTGGGTTTCTGTTTGAAACACATTGCCACAAGAGCAAGAAGGAAAGACATTACCCAGTTAATGGAACAAAAAGTAGATTACCCAGTTAATGGAACAAGAAAAAGATTATCCAGTTAATGGAACAAAAAACAGATTACCCAGTTAATGGAACAAGAACCAGATTACCCAATTAATGGAACAAGAAAAAGATTATCCAGTTAATGGAACAAAAATCAGATACATAGTTAATAGACCAAGAACAAAAAAATACCCAGTTAACGGAACAAGAAGCAGATACATAGTTAATGGAACAAGAAAAAGAGTACCCAGTTAAAAGAAACAAGCGAATTTAGTAAGTAAAGGAATTGTTGTTTGAGTTGACAGTTGTCTCCGTGGGAAAAGCAGAAATCGGAGAAAGCCAGAACTATTTAAACAAGAGCATCGCTAACGCAGCAATATACGTCCACATTCCTGTTTTGTTTGATATGGTCCAGTTTGCATTGAGGGTCTGTGAAATAAAACTGGGTTGTAGGACTGCTATCAGTTTAACGTTTCGTTCACATTAACAGAACACAATTTTTATTTTAAAACAATCGATGTCTTTATTCTAAAAGCATGACGTTTAGAATAGGTATCCCCATTTCAAAAGGATCGGTTAAGAATTGCGGCCTGTAGGCAAAACACAAGACACACAAACATTAGGCGTGACTCTGTCCCAAGGGGTTGAGCATGCACCAAAAATAATAATAGAGGCCAGCCTTAGGATTAAGGAATAAGTGTAAAAACGTAGCCTTAGGCTATAAGGAATAAGTCTAAAAAAAAATTCAAGATGATCGATTAAGAAATGCGGTCTGCAAGTGACACACAGACATAAAAAAAGAAAATGGGCGTAGCTCTGCCCCTGGGGGTTGGGTATTCACCACAACTAATAGGGATGTTCCTTAGGATAGAAGGAATATGTATGCTAAGTTTCAAGGTGATACGATAAGAAATGCGATCTGTAGATGACAAACAAATAAATAAATATAAGGGATGGGCGTGGCTCTACCCCTGGTGGTCGGGCATGCACCAAAAACAATAGGGATCATACTTAGGGTATAAGCAATTCATATGAAAAATTTTCAAGACGATTGATTAAGAATTGTGGCCTGTAGGTGACACACAGACATAAAAAGAAAAGAAAATGGGCGTGGCTCTGCCCCTGGGGGTAAAAAAACAATAGGGGTCATCGTTAGGGTATAAGCAATTCATATGAAAAAATTTCAAGACAATTGATTAAGAATTGTGGTCTGTAGGCGACACACACACATAGAAAAAGAAAATGGGCGTGGCTTTGCCCCTGGGGGGTGGGCATGCACCCAAAACGATAGGGATGTTCCTGAGGGTACAAAGAATAAGTATGCAAAGTTTCAAGATGATACGTTAAGAAATGCGGCCTGTAGACGACAAACAAACAAATACAAAAATGGGCGTGGCTCTGCCCCGGGGAGGCGAGCATGCACTAAAAACAATAGGGATCATCCTTAGGGTATAAGGAATAAATATGTAAAGTTGATACGTTAAGAAATGCGGTCTGTAGATGACAAACAAATAAATAAATATAAGGAATGGGCGTGGCTCTGCCCCTGGGGGTCGGGCATGCACCAAAAACAATAGGGATCTTCCTTGGGGTATAAGGAATAAGTATACCAAGTTTGAAGAAAATCCAGTAAGAATTGCGCCCTGTAGGCGACACAAAGACACACGAAAAGAAAATGGGAAATGGGCGTGGCTCTGCCCCTGGGGGTTGGGCATGTACCCCAAACGATAGGGATGTTCCTTAGGGTACAAAGAATGTGTATGCAAGATTATAAGTTAAGAAATGTGGCCTGTAGACGACAAACAAACAAATACTAGAAATGGGCGTGGCTCTGCCCCTGGGGGTCGGGCATGCACCAAAAACAATAGGGATCTTCCTTGGGGTATAAGGAATAAGTATACCAAGTTTGAAGAAAATCCAGTAAGAATTGCGCCCTGTAGGCGACACAAAGACACACGAAAAGAAAATGGGCGTGGCTCTGCCCCTGGGGGTTGGGCATGCACCCCAAACGATAGGGATGTTCCTTAGGGTACAAAGAATGTGTATGCAAAGTTTCAAGATTATTAGTTAAGAAATGTGGCCTGTAGACGACAAACAAACAAATACTAGAAATGGGCGTGGCTCTGCCCCGGGGGGTCGGGCATGCACCAAAAACAATAGGGATCTTCCTTGGGGTATAAGGAATAAGTATACCAAGTTTGAAGAAAATCCATGAAGAATTGCGCCCTGTAGGCGAACCACAGACACACACACACACACACACACATACATACATACACACACACACACACACAGACAGGGGCGACGGCATAATACGTTCACATTATGAATGTGGACGTATAAAAATAGAAACGGGAAGTAATTAAAAAATATAATCACCTGAGAGTGGCGATGTTACCTGCAGCTGTTACCCGGAGTCTAGACTAAAAACAAATTTAAAATATATTAAAAAAGAATAAAAAAAAGGACCTCGAGATATCATCATAAAAACTGATAGCGATCGGTAACAATGGCGTCTATACATACATGCCTATCACAGGATAGTAAGGTACTTATAGTCCCGTTACTAATTAGAAATCAGTAATAATTAATAATTAATGGGTGATAAACCCCCGGAGGAATATATTTAACCAGTAGCTACAATCAGCTTGATTAGTGGGCTGATATCTGAAGCAAATCATCACAATAAAATATAAATATAATGAATAATTCTCTTTTTACTTTCAACTCTCGGTTGATTTTTATAAAGGATTACACTATTTTATTTTACCCCCTTTTTTATATACCGACGATTTTGATTGGTTGCATTGTAATGTCCATAACATATAAAACGGCGTAAAATGTATGGATGTCCCTTGGCGTTGTATTTAATGTATATACATTTATGTACATTGTGACAATTTATATAGAAGTCGTTTATCAATCTTACACGTAGAATTTTTGTTTATGGAAAGCCAATAAACTATAATAAATACTATGTAATGACCAGGGTTAAATCTGTGCCACATGAATTTTAATGGTGGTTGTATAGAGATAAATGAACGTTTAACCACAGGTAGACAAAGATTCGTTGTGAATTATTAATTTTCATATGCAATCGAATTTCATCAATTTTTATGCACAGGTCTACCCAATACCTGCTACCACTATTATCTAATTAATATTGCGCGTAGGACTGTCAGAAATATGTCTGAGAAAACGATGTCCGTTCAGGTCACTGCAAGAGAGTCGAAGTGCAAGAGAGTCGAAGGCGAGAATGGCGAATTTGATTTTTCATGCTGCCAGAGTAGTAAATTAAGTATCTTTACATGTGCAACATGTTTTTGGCTTTATTCAAATTATTCGTGTAATTTCATGGCGGTATATAAATGGACATAATATTTCTATTATTATTTGAGCGTCAGTACACAGGAACTCAATAATTTACTAATGAAGATTCGTGTACAATATTTGATCTCAGTAGTTAGTGATTCTACATATTGCCAAAAAAATCTAGAAAATCACAGTGTTCACAAATCATATGGCAAAATTATGACTGTCACGCAATACAATGAAAATGCCGCGTGATTTGGCTTGACAAACTGTTGATTTTCTTAGCTTGGTTCCTGAAAAATAATGTTCCTGAAAAATAATAGTGTGTACCTATATGCCGACATTTAGGATTGAACCTCCTATTGTGTAGCAATCGGGCTGTTGAAGAGGGACATATAGTTTGCCCAGACTGGAAGCGTTTCCGCCAACTCTCGTCCAATTTTAATTGTCAAATGTTACTTTACTTTTAAGCCAATGACGTTCAAATCTGACCTGATTTGACCCCTCGTCT